AAGAAAATCAATGCATTAATATTAGAAAGTCGATAAACGAAAAGAGCGCGGCGCGAGTCGCTTCTCTGCACCCTCACACACGATGGATTGTGCGATGCTGCGGCCCATCGGTGATGCGATGCAGCGGGTGGTGGGCAGCGAGTGGGCGCAGTTGTCGGTATCGCTTCTCGGCCTTTTGGCTAAGATCAAAGTTTAGTTTCTGTTCTTATCGAATTAACCTTCGATAGAGATTCGAATGAATCTCGTTAAGGTTATTTGATTTTTGAGACCGGACGAGGTCGTGGGCTTGCTCGCGCCTCGTCACGGGTCGGCCCAGCGTTGCACTGCTGTTGGGATCGGCCCACCCCCACGGGGGGAACAAGAGCGATTGGAAAGAAAAACAATGAGGTCAAAGCTCTTTCCTCGGAAGTAGTGAAAATGATGAAGGAATAGAAATCGCTAGTGAATCTTACCGAACAACAACGGTCTTTACTGAACAGGTCTTTGAGCAAAACTGGCATTAGAGCAGTTCCCTCTGATCGCTCCATTCATTGGAATTTTCAAATACCGAATTGGAATGGCAATGAGAGTCCATGAAACAGATTATTGCTGAGATTTAAAAGCACTTGTGATAACCACAAATACAATCGCAGCCAGGTACTGGCGCCAAAACTCAATGTCATATTCGTGATCAATACGAGCGATTGTTCACCTTCATCAGGGCGTTTGGGCAACAATAATTCCCTTGTCATAATGGAAATTTAAATGCTGCCTTCCGCTAGTCCTCTTTTACTATTTGGAGGAATTTTCTTGAGATTGGTCTCATGGGATGTTATTATTGTGCTGATAATCAACATGTAACTAATTATCAGGGTGCTATCTAATGTGAGGGGGGGGGACTACGGCGGCGCGGCGCTCTTTTCGTCTGCTCCTCCAAGGCTTAGTTAGTCCACGATGGCGCGTATTTCGAAACTGCCACGTGGCGACGAAATAGTAACTGCCCCTTGGACTAAGCCCTGGAGGAGCAGACGAACAGAGCGCCGCGCCGCCGCGTGGTTCCTCCTAACTAAGATAGCACCCTGATAACTGATTCCATGTTGACTATCTCCACAACAAACATTTTCAAGAAAATTTCTTCTTCAAATAGTAAGAGAGGGCTAGCGAAGGCAGCATCCAACTATCCATTGTGACAAGGGAATTATTGTTGCCCAAACGCCCTGATGAAGGTGAACAATCGCTTGTATTGATCACGAATATGACATTGAGTTTTGGCGCCAGTACCACTGGCTGCGATCGTATTTGTGATTATCACAAGTACTTTTGAAATCTCGGCGATAATCTGTGTTTCGTGGATTCTCATTGCCATTCCAATTCGGTATTTGAAAATTCCAATGAATGGAGCGATCAGAGGGAACTGCTCTAATGCCAGTTTTGCTCAAAGACCTGTTCAGTAAAGACCGTTGTTGTTCGGTAAGATTCACTAGCGATTTCTATTCCTTCATCATTTTCACTACTTCCGAGGAAAGAGCTTTGACCTCGTTGTTTTTCTTCCAATCGTTCTTGATTCCCCCCGAGGGGTGGGCCGATCCCAACAGCAGTGCAACGCTGGGCCGACCCGTGACGAGGCGCGAGCAAGCCCACGACCTCGTCCGGTCTCAAAAATCAAATAACCTTAACGAGATTCATTCGAATCTCTATCGAAGGTTAATTCGATAAGAACAGAAACTAAACTTTGATCTTAGCCAAAAGGCCGAGAAGCGATACCGACAACTGCGCCCACTCGCTGCCCACCACCCGCTGCATCGCATCACCGATGGGCCGCAGCATCGCACAATCCATCGTGTGTGAGGGTGCAGAGAAGCGACTCGCGCCGCGCTCTTTTCGTTTATCGACTTTCTAATATAATGCATTGATTTCTTTCCAAAACGAAGCTGAAAGTCGCTTTCTGAACAATAATTAAGCTATTAATAACTCCTGCAATGTAAACTCATCCTAATTTCTGTTCAACTCAGCAGTTTCAAGGATTAGCCATCGTTCACCAGTTTTGCATTTTATTCCACACATTTCTACTATATTATTGTATTTGTTTCTTTTTATTATTTTCAGAGTTGCTGTATCTTTATATGATTTTCTATATTTTTGGAAGCGTTCACCGCATATTCGGATTATAAATCCCTTAACATTCCCTTTCACTTCTTCGCAGAAGTTCTCACTTGGAAGTTTCTCCATGATGTGGTTAACGAAGTTCTAGTTTTCAGTGTTTATTTTTTTGTCGTTCTTATCTACAGGCTTAAAAAGGTAATCTGTCGTGTTTCGATTTGCTCAAATTCCATGTTCTTCAAGAATGTTTACTGAATTGTCTCGTCAAATATCCTCCCAGTTATTATCTATTCCCATGGATCAAAATTGAGAGATTATCTGCGAACCATGAACTTGATCCAGATGATTGTGTTATTTTTCAGTTATGCATGCAGTTGTTAGAAGCCTCGCTCGAGCAATATCAAGTCCGTTGAATTTACAGGTAATGTGCTTTATAATTCAAGTTATAGTTGTACAGAGAAACTTATTTTCCGTAATCCGCGTTTTCGGGGATTGTTCGGGTAGGCTATGTGAGACGTTCTGAAGAAAATTCACATCCCACTCCAGCTGCACTTCATTTCCCGGTTTTCCCTACCATCTCTTTCCCTACCTTTCCCTATCTACGTTTCACAATATGAAAGGATGTTCCCTCATGAGGTTTTGCTCCCAGGCTAGTAATTGCCACACCTAGAAGTCAGCCTAGAAAGGCCTACATGATTTCAAATGGTGGGGAATGTGTTTTATTAGGACAGCGCAGCTCGGTTGTCTTATGCAGCAAATCCATTCGGCAGATGGTTTCCAATCCTTTCCTTTTCGTTCAACTCCCTTTTTGTGGCCTGCTGGGAACTTTGTACCCACTTTGTATAAACTGTATTTTTACCAACTTGTATCTTTCCAATCAGCTAAGATTCTAGCTAAATTAAAGGGATCACTGTGAGAATTACAGGTATTACAGCAGAGAATGAGAATAAGCGGAGATTGTTGTTTGGAGTTTTCTTTCTGCATTTTTTTTGTTTCAGGGTATCAATGGACTTTTTTCCATAATACGTTGTAATTAAGGTAGCCTTGCTCATCAACCGGTGCCAAATTTAATGGAGTTATTCCTACGGAATCTATAGAGAAACGTTACACGCTCAGCAGTGGTCCTGGCGGTCAAAATGTTCAGAAGAATGCTACCAAGGTCAGTGTTGAAGGTGCATTTCACGTGATTAAATACATTCCGTGAATAGGGTAAGGCTGTCCAGAAAGGTGGAAAGCCCATTCCCGTAACTCGAAAATGCGTGGTAAGAGAGCCAACGCTTATGAATCCGGGCTCCAGCTCCACTGTGTGAGGCCTGACCAGGGGCCTTTACGATTTGCGATGTTTGTCTGCGCCTCGCTCGTCCCCTGTCTTTTCCCTCGTCTATGAGTCATCCCTTCTCCTTGGTGAGGGTTTCTACGTTGTTGTACGCGCCAATCCACCCAGGAAATGAAGCTTTATCTACCATTTTTTGAGTGGATCTTTCATTCATGGCGCTGCTCTTTGTACTTCTTCTTTTAGTTTTGAACGCATCAGCATACCTAGGCGAATGTGGAATTAGCCTTTGTTGTTAGTGTTAGCGCACAAGTAGGCCTTCAAAGCTACCTGCAGGTATGATATAAAGGGTGTTGTTCGCTAGGACAGAATGCGATTTATTCACTCATCGCAAGCTTTTTTGCTACGGGAATCACACGTCCGATCATTAGTGGACCTGGGTTTCTACAGTGGAAAAAAACTTCGCTCTACGAAAAGTGGAAAAGTCTCGTTCTATTCTAGCGAACCACACCCCACCCTTGCTCGTCTGTGGGATGATGGTACTTGGCTGCACCATTCGTAGTGGTGTGAAGTATAAAAGCAGTTAGTCACGATAGATCTTATGTGTACATTCTTTTTGATTGTAATGCCAGTGATTATGCTTCATCGGAAGAGCAGGAGTGACATACGAATGTTTTGAGGTGATTAGTGTAAGAGCACAATGTGACATGCTTCAGGTCGAGATCAGGTTCAACCTCAAAGAGGCCAATTGGTTATCAGAAGAGTTGAAGGATGGTCTTGCAAGACGTCTAGCAAACCGAATAAATTCTAAAGGAGAAGTATGTTGATTCCATGTTGCTGTAGAATTACGTGTGACTGTGTTCTGCATACAAGCAAAGTTTTTTGCTTTGTTTAGCTGATCATTGAAAGTGAACGAACCCGTGAAAGGCATTTAAATCTGGCTGACTGCTTTGACAAATTACGTTCGACTATTTATGATGTTGAAAGGAGTATGAATTCACGCCTGGAAACCGAGGAGGACGCAGAAATCATTCGAAAGGTATTCCTTCATTTCTGCTTGAAGCTATCTCTCCTTAACACATTCACGATGGCGCCCCTTTTCCGCTTTCCGATCGCGTAGGAGAGACGCGATTTTGTGGGCGCCGTCGCCTAGCCTCATATCCGCGGATTTTGTACTGTAAATGAACAAAAACATGAATGTCACAAAATAATTTCAGCGATGTTTCTTTTTTTTTGGGGGGGGGGGGGTGGTGGGCAATGAAGGCTTATTTTTGTTTGTAGAAAATGCTTTTTTGATGTCTCGCATTGTTTTTTAACTGACTTGAAGAGTGGAAAAGTCAATCTTCTTAGAAAGTACACCTAACTTTGGAAAGTAAATAAATAGATAATTGTTTTTTTCTTCAGAAAGCGGCTCTGGCAGCACAGCACCGTTTAGCAGAGAAAAGGAAAGCCGCAGAGAAAAGACGCATGAGATCAGTCCAAGTTTGAAATCGTTGGTTATAGTACTAGGTCATGTTCATATTGTAGAATTGTGATTGTTAGTTTACTTTAATAAATTTTTTCCTCATCGATTCCTTTGAGTTCAAGTGAAGCACTGAATTTCACAACATTCAAATTCTAGTTTGCTACTACTATCGCCAGTCTTGATGAAATATTCTAGAGTTTGAAGTTTTTAAGAGTCTGAAGTCTTCTCATTTGTTCAGTTTGGTTCAACTATATGCTTTGACACAAAACTGTTAAAGAGCGTTAGTCGTGAGCTTTTCTTGCTTGGTTACGTCGGACGTTAAATTTGCGTTTGAGGTGCCTGCGACTCATTGTGTTTACTTTTGTTGCGTCCCTGTGGAAACAGATGCATTAGCGAAAATCGACCATCCTACCGGAACTCGTTCAGTGTAGATCTCGGCCTTGATTGCAATATGTAATTAATTCTTCTATCAATATTCCGAGGAAGCTTTTGCGCGGGTAGCGTTTGTTACCGTCACGTTAGTGAGCAGCGTGCGCTGTGCAACCGGTCATCGTTACGATTTTTTTTCTCATTTGTTTTCCTCTCTGCTCATACGCAGCGGTGATAAACGCTGCATATTCACTTTCAGCACTTATTAATTGAAATTTGTTTTTTTTTCTTTTCTCGCTTCGAGTTAAAGGTGCAGTCGTCTAGTCTTTGCTCTTTCACTGAATACTGTGGCTTCTCTTAGGGCCCATCGTCCATCGGAATTTCCGGCGAAAGGGGTCATGTTTGCGGTATTAGGGCAAAAAGTCGCAGCTGGCCTTTTCGGATGGGGATATGGTGGTAGAAGCTGAAGGAATCGTTTTTGTAGAGCAACCAAAGTCTACAGTTCTTACCGAAAAGTGGTGAAATAGCTCTATCAGAAGGCTTTCTGAGTGGAGTTGAGATGTAACGAGTGTTTCGCGAGTGACATGTCCAACGATGCTATGGCACCATTGACCGCTGAGGGGGGATGCAATGTTACGAACCCCTCCAAGAGGGTCGGACCGATGACCCTGAGTTTCCCATTGCAGTGATCGCCTTCGCAAAAGAAAATCATTCTTGCACTGGACCTTCGATTCCGTTAGCGGTCCACCGTCACTGTCCCCTTTTGGAGAAGTGATCGCGCAATGGCAAATGGTAAGTCTGTAATTCCGACGATCTCACCGTTCCGAACATCTTTCAGCAGCCACAATCAGCAGCTGCTACCCCTCTTTTTGGTTT